CTTACCCCCAAGCAACTCATTCCAGAGTTCCTTTATTTTTGGAACTACAAGCGCGCGCGCGCGCACACACACACACACACACCAGCTTTTGCTGAGGACAGCGCGGGACTGCCCCGTGCCCTGGCACTCCCATAAGGAGAGGAAGCCCGGGAGGAGGCAGGAACCAGACGCGACTCCCCCGACCCTGCGCCTTTCTTCCCCTCCCTGTTCTCCGCCCCTCCAGGAAGAAAGCAGTCAGAGACCCAATCACTTGTGGTGGCCACTGTGCTAGCACCAACCACTATACCGCCCTCCCTTCCCTTCCACCCGATTTTGCACTGAGCACCGGCCTGCCCGCGCGCCCCAGGCTGGGCAGGTCTTGGCGAGCAGTGCAGGCTCGGCTCCCCGGGGCTTCTCCGCGAAGCGTGTTGTTCCTGGGATTTCACAGTTGAGTGGTTCTTGCGTAACCCTGCGCCTTGGCCTAAATTAATTTTTTTTTTAATGCTAGGCTTAATCCTTTAAGGAAAGACAAGTACTTCCGGCCACAGTTCCGGTCGGCCGGGGAGTAAGTGGGTAAAGCACCCTGCAGTCTGGATTCCCCCAACCTTCAGGGCGCCTTTGTGCCTTCCAAAAAGGCTCAGGTCTGAAGCTGTGGCCCTGGGGTTCTGTTGTGCGGGGGAAGGGGACCTTGGAAAGGCCAGAGGTTGGCCTAACCCAGACGATTTTTTTCACGTAGTCTGAAGCGGCCCTCTCAGGCCAAAGAATCGGGTCCTGCTTACTGTAGGGCTGAGTGTTACCAAAAAAGGCCTTTCTCTCGCCAGAGCACTTGGCCGCACGCGTTTCAGCGGGATGAGGAGAGGCTCAGCCCTGGCCTCCAGAGCTAGCTGGCTGCAGCGATGCCAGGCCGAGAGAATCCCCATCTTTGTGTCCTCTTTGCCCCTAAACGGTAGGGGGAGGGGAAGGCAGGAGGGAGACTGTAGGGAGCTTTGAAGGGCTTAGGCTCCTGGAGACCTGCATACTCCTACGATCAGCCTATGATGCTCGGGAAAGGCCAACTGGAAAGCTGACCTTTTGCTTCACTTGGGAGAAGGATTCACTGAGAATGCTAGCTCAGATGGCAAACGGGGGGGAGTCAGCTACAAAGAGAAAGCTTTGAGGAGACAGCGCTGGCGTCTCTTCCCTGTACTCCCTGAAAGTCCAGCACCAGAGCTCTGCGTCAACTGTGCACCTTGGTGTCTTAGATGGAGACTCCCCACCCTCTTTTCCCAGGCTCAGGCCCTGTGGCATTAGAAGAGGGAAGGATAAAACTCATCTCCAGAACACTAGAATTCTTGTCTCACAATCTCGGACACATCTCCAAACAGAGCCATTTCAGACAAGCAGTTAAGAAGCAATTTATCACCATAAACCCCGTGATTCTTGGGGGGATGGGGTTATGGAGAGAGCTGTGCTTTTTAAATGATTATGAGACTGTAATGAAAGTCTGTTTAAATGCACGCTGACTCCTAACTCATTATGTCTGAAGACACACCAGCATGTGTGTGTGTGTACGTATATACCCTTTAGTAACAGTGAAGATAGAGACAGACAGGGAGATGGAGACATATGTGTGTGCATACCAAACATAACACTATCCAACTTGCTTTCTCTAGCTGCCTGGCTGGAGAGTTACAGCTAAGTTGCTATTTCTCCATTATTTTTGGTTTAATAAAGAGAAGGGCTGAATAAATAATGTAAGGAAACAGGTCCACCAGCCAAACCAATGCTAAGGAGCCCGGCTGGCAGGGATGTGAAGCCATCTCTCAGACCTGTTTTGACTCACTCCAGGGTAGCTGTGGTGTGGGGAGCGTTGGAGGCTGAGGCAATGCTCTCAGCAGCTCTCCACATAGGAATCACTGCTCTGGGCCAGCAAGCCAGGCAAAGTTTATTATTGCTCTGGAGTGCACAGTGAGCTCACTGTTTTGCAAAACCAGAAATGTGGCTGCTCTGAGATGAAAGAGGGGCTCCCTAAGGGCTCTTCCTTTCCCCTTTTTCCTTATCCTCAGAAACTCCTCTTTTCTTTGCAGTTGGGGGCCTCAGAATGAGTGGAGGGTTGGGAAGCTGGGCAGTACTGGATACAGAAATAGGCTCTAGAGATCGAATGTCAAAATAAATATTTCTTATTGCTTCAACTGAACTTTATTACAACTATTAAGTACAAGTAATAGTAACAAGAATAATCCCTGTTTTACACATTTTTACAATGTTCTGTCTCTTTTACATTAGCCAGCAACAGTACCAATACTAATATCCATATTAACAATAACCAACACTGAATGGCAGTTTCCTATGTGCCTAACATAGTGCACTGCATACTGTATGGTGTATCTATGTTACAGTCTTCTATATACAGATCCACAGCTTCTGCATATGAAAAGTTCAGTGGCTCACTCTAGAGGAGGCTAGGGGTTAGTTATGAAGATGCATTTGCCTAGTGCTTTACATATAAGATTGTAAGAAAGCATGGACTGTTGATGGAAATTTTGAGCGCCCTGAACCACCTCTGGGAGTCTAAGGGGTAAAAGCCACCTCTCAAATCAGATTTACTGGATTCATGTCCAAGTGCCAGCTCCAAGAGCTTTGAGCAAGTTATTTAACCTCTTTTTACTTTCCTAGTCTATAAAATTGAGTTAATAGAATCCACCTTATAACTAATAATAGGAATTTAATAATATAATGCCCTCTCAATAATGCAGATACCATGTAGATAATAAGGGTTTAACAATACATAAAATACACCTTCAATAATGTAGATATTAAGGATGATGCAAATAAAACACCTTGTATCATCCTGCCCAGCAAGTCTCAGTATGTCATAGCAAGTTGCCTCTCACTTTGACAAGGAACAAACTGAAATCTGAAACAACCCTATCAGGTCGGCAGCTGCCATTCAATTTTTTGTTTGATTGTTTTTTGTTTTTTGTTTTATTTTGGTACTGGGGATTGAACTCCTAGGGTCCTTGGGTTTGCAAGGCAGGCAGTGGCACCACGGAGCTAAATCCCGGGCTGGTCATTCCATTTTACAGAAGGAAAACAAAGGTTATGTAAATAAGTAGCTTAAGGTTGCAAAGCTAATAAGTGATAGTGAAAAATTACAATGCTGGTCGCAGGTTGGCATAACCCAATCTCATTACATTGCCTCCCCTCCTCCATCCTTTCCCAGGAGGGAATTATCTCAATTTTCACGAAGAAAAAAAAAAGTAGACCAAATAAAGAGAAGAATCATTTGAAATGCTCCAACCAGAACAACACATCTGTTCTGCAATGAGCAATAATGATAAACAGTGATCTTATAAGGGAAAAGAAATAACGGCTTCCTGCAGCGTTCTGGGGCAGTATGGAACGATATCACAGCACGTGGAAAAGAACTTTGAAAACGGTGATTTTGCTGTATAAAAAGCAATCAGTGTTATTAAATGCTGCCCCCTCCTTCTTTTATCAAATCCAGAATAACCACTCACCTGTTTGGCCTCTCTAGCACCCCCGCCCCCTGCCAGGAACTGCAGCTGTGCGCAGCCAGTTGACTGTTTTCCTTAAAGGCCTCAGGGTGCTGGTAGTTTCTTTAGACTTTCAGCCAAAATTTTTAGAGTTCGACTAGGGGGAGGGGTAGCTTACCCTGAATTCATTTAGCGCCATCCGTGAAGCTCGTGTTCCTAGATTAGGACACAAAAAACAAATCCGAAAGGCAGTTTCTGTAAGACTGGAAAGCAGTTAATTTTGTAGGTGCTTAGGCAACAGTGTTGCCAAAGGAATGTAACATAAAGGGGGCAGGACGGGGGTTGATCGCATAAAAAATGGCTAATACCTTATATGATATTCACAGCGAGAATCCTGGAACAGGGCATTTAAATTCATTGCCTCAGATGGACTGGGGTGGGGAACTGCGATTGGAAACTACACTCGTGTTTTTTAAGTGCGTCTTTACTTGGGAAAGCAGGACAGGGAAAGGAAAGGTCATCGTCTGTTTGATTTCCACCCCCGGCCCTGGACTTCCAGCATTAGCTCGCCAAGCCTCAGCTGTTGTACACACACAGCGAGGGGGAGGGGAGAGCGGAGGCGCGGAGGAGGGGCTGGCTGGGAGGAATCTGGGCTTCCTGCCGCGCATGCGTCTTTCCCGAGCAACAAGTGGGCTCCACAGACAGAGGAAGTGTAAAGGGGGGGTAGAGGGGACTGGTGCAGAGCATGGCGGTGACGTCAGCGCTCCGCCCGGGCGGCATCCCGCGCGGCCGAGCC